TATGTATATATATGTACATATATATATATATGTACGTATATATATGTATCCCATATATATATATATATCTATGTATATATATACTTATATATATATATTTATATATATATGTGTGTGTAATATGTATATATATATATGTATATGTGAATTATGTATATATACATGTATATATATATGTTTATATATATGTATATACATATACATATATATAGGCCTATATATGTATATATTTCTATATACATATGTATATATATATGTATATAAATCATCAAAGAATCAAAGTTGATTTATATTATATATATATGTATATATATACATGTATATATATGTCTATATGTCTATATGTCTATATATATATAGGCATATATATACATATGTATATATATATATGTCTATATATATATAGGTGTGTGTGTATATATAGAGAAAAAATGAAGCAGCTTCAATAGTAACTTTAAGAACACACATGTGTGTGGTTTATGTGTGTGTGTGTGTGTGTGTGATATGTGTATAAATATAAATATTGTCTCACCTCACCCATCATCTACAAAGCCACTGTCCACTCAAATGATGACACAAAATGCTACATCGGGCTCACTGACACACCGTTCAAAACCCGATACACAAACCACAAATACACTTTTAACACCCCAAATACAGAAACAGCACCGTACTCTCCAAATACGTATGGAAATTAAAAGACAGCAACACACCCTACAATATTAAATGGTCTACAGTATTATCGACAGAGCATCTGCTTACTCCCCAAAACCAAAACACTGCAACCTATGCACCGAGCTATTGTCTAAATGCAGGTACAACAACAAATACTTACTTAAAAACAATTAACTTATTTGCATTTTCACCTGCCTTAGCATTCATATACTCACACAATTCTTGTATTCTCTCACTCCTGAAGATTGCATTTAAATTTGACCAAAGACGAACGTAAGGCTATATCCACTCTTAAAACCAATAAAGACATCGTAATAAGACAGGCAGATAAAGGAGGAGCCACGACCATCATGAGCAGAAGCCAGTGAACAATTATCGAACACTATTTTATTAAAAAAAATTAGATAAGGACCATACTGTTGATTTTAATCGTGAACTTTTGAACTTGACCACGGGGTTATCTGCTCATACCCATCCACATATTTCTGCTCTTATCCATAGGAACCCACAGCTAGGTACGTTCTACACCATACCAAAAGTACACAAGCTACCCAAACTTATCGACAACATTCTCACGACCAAACCACACAACATATCCACATCCACTGATCCATTCAAAAAAATTTGACATCGCTAAGTCGCTCAATATTCATCCACCAGGCCGTCTCATCATCTCCAATATAGGAACGCTTAAAGAACACCTATCCGGTTACCATTTGGTTATTAAAACTTTCATCCCTTCCATCCTCAGTTACATCAAAGATACCACGCACTTTCTCAAAAATCTCTCACAAATCCCAAACATTCAGAAGGATGCTCTACTAGTCACCATGGATGTCACATCCCTTTACACGAACATCCCCCATGCTGAAGGCCCAGATATATTGACGATATTTTTTTTATACATGGCATTGATGCGCTCGAGCTTTTCAAAACTCATGCTAACACTTTCCATCCCACCATTAAATTCACATTTGAACACTCTCAACACACTCTCCCGTTCCTCAATGTCTCTGTCAAGGTTATAGAAGGGCAACTCTCGACTTCTCTCTACTGCAAGCCCACCGATCGTCACTGTTATCTTACCTATAACAGCTTTTATCCACATAAACTGAAACAGTCATTGATATTCAGCCAATGTCTTCGCATCAGACAGGGGCGGATCCAAAAATGTCCAAAAGGGGTAGGTGGGCGGAATGGGGGGGGGCGCGAAAGTTGGGCCGATTGAGACAACTCTGTTGTAGGGGGGTCCGGGGCATTCCCCCGCGAAATTTTTGTGTTCTAGACGCCCGAACATAACATTTGAGGCATTCTGGGCTATCATGTTTTTCTTTTTTTCTTTTTTTTCTTTTTTCTCCCTTTTTTTTTACCTCCCAAAAGTGGGGGCCGGGGCGATGATGACTGCTTTGATCATGTTAACAAGCTCACGGCTTACTCTCTGGATAACGGTTATCCCCTTAAATTTATTCTCAAGAAAACCTCTAGAGCTATTAGAATTTCTAGACCTTCTCTTCTCTCTCCCAATCCCAAGCTCATCACTGAACGCATACCCCTAGTCATTGATTACAGTCCCAGTAGCTCCCAACTAGCTAACAGAGTTAAACAAGGATTTCAATCTCTCAAACTCGATCCCTCTATAAATACCATTTTCAATGATCCCCCGGTAGTAGCCAACCACCAAATCTCAAATCTATTTTATCTTCATCTCGCTTACTTTCATCCTGTAGGCAGTGGCGTCGAGTGGGGGATCGGGAGGGGGGTCGATGCCCCGGAGCCCGGGTCTACTGGGGGCCCGGACCAAAATGAAAAATTTTCGGGGGAAGAACAAAATCTCCATAGGGCCCGAGCCCAAGCCAGGGTGAAAACCTTTGTTGTCAGATTTAGGAGGAGACTTAATTTGGGGAGCGGCCAAGTGGGGGTCCCAAGTGAAGGGGGGAATGTGAGGTGTTGCCCCGGGGCCCTTACTCTCGACGCCACTGCCTGTAGGACCGCCGGTATTAACAAATGCCACAAGCCTAGATGTCAAATTGTAAATTTATCACCACAGATTGCTCTATTACTATGCCTCATTCTGGTTGCACACTTCGTCTCCCCTCTCTTAACTGTGATGCTCACAATGTTGTATATATGTTACTCTGCAATATTTATGAAGATGGTCATTATTTTGGCGAAACTGGCATTGCTTTTAGGTCCAGATTTAATAACCACAAATCTTCTATCCGACACAATCGCACAGGTTCTCCTGTAGCAGAACACTTCAACTCTCCGAAATATTCTCTCAGTAAACTACGATGTACCCTCATATCCACTAATTTCTCCTCCCTCAACCAACGTAGACTCAAATTCATTATCAAACACAAAACACACATATCTGGTTTAAACAAGGATCTTGGTATCCTTAGTGGGTTCTCGTTTTTTAAGGTCAAATTTTTTTATTTCGATCAGTTTCTGTGGTGACCCGATTTTATTTCATGTCATTCATTTATTTATTTATTCATTCATTCCTTCATTCATTCATTCATTCATTCATTCATTTATATTATCATTATTATTATTATTATTATTTCATTATATAAATATATATATATATATATATTTTCCCATTTATTATCTCTATAGGCCTTGTTTGTTTTAGCGCTGATTTATCATATTACTGTATTTTTTCATTTATTTATTATTCTAGGATTCACAGACCCAGCCTATGTTATATTATTAGGCCTACATTCAGGAGGCTCAGTTACAAACTTTATATGATCCATTTCTCTGAAATAACCATCTTTATTGTGCTGGCCAATACAATAGATAGCTTATTTGACACCCTTGTTTCTTGATTATTGTAGATACTCAGTATGCATAGATAAGTAAGCCAATCATTTTACAGTTTTATAAGTACAGTATCTCTTATTTACTTTCTGTCACCTTTATTTTTGATAAGACAGCCTATATTATAATGATTCATGATGTTTTCCGTTATTCTCGCTGATGAAGGCCACAGGAGTGGCAGAGATATCCGAGAAATTTGTGTTCTTAAAGTCTACTATTGAAGCTGTTTTCATTTCCGAGCAGTTTCTTCTTTCTTTCTGGCAACATTTTAAAAGGCAACTAGTGGCAAACTACTGGACCGATTTAATTAAAACTTGGTCAGTAGGACCGGTGCCACCCCCCATTTATGTGTTGTTCACAACTTGGGGTCAAAGGTCACATAAGGAGCATTAGGGTCAAAAAACCAAAAATCGTATAAAAGCTACTTGTCTCACAAATAACGTAGCACAGTCTTGTCCTTTGCACATGTACATTGGCATAAGGCAGAGTCTATAGGGTGTTCAGGTATAAGGGGTCAAAGGTCATTAAGGGGTAATTTTTATCTTTTTTCTGGCAACATTTTAAAACCTGGTCAGTAAAACAGGTGACACCTCTCATACATGGGGTGTTCACTTCTTGGGGTCAAAGGTCACATAGGAGTTATTAGGGTAAACAAAAATTTTAAAAAAAATGAATAAAAGACTTCTTCTGTCACAAATAACATAGCACAGTCTTGTCCTGGGCACATATGTATTGGCATAAGGTAGGGTCTCTATGGTGTTCACAGATTTACGGTCAAAGGTCATTAAAGGGTTATTTTTTTTTGTTCTCTCTAGTAACATTTCAAAATGCTACTAATGGCAAACCATTGAACGAAATGCAATCAAATTTCGTCATTAAGAACCGGCGACCCCTCCTACACCCCAGTCTGGGATCAGGGTTACATAGGGGTCATCGGGGTCAAATTTTAAAAAACCTCCAATTGAGCTCGAATTTACCAGGAATGATCCTTAGGACCTTCTAAACATGAAAAACGACTCTTCACCTATAGGTCAAAAGTCACAAGGGTCACTATAGTGAAAATTATCAAATCATAATGAAAACTTGAGGACATCTGCTCACTGAACGGTTCACTGCACACTTTAACACAGTAAATGAGTCAAAATCTTTTCTCACAAAATCGACTATATAATTTGAATGGTTTCATTTGGCAATCTGGGGCGGTCGGATTATGAAACTAGGTGTTTTAAGCTTGATAATCATCTATATTACAATTAATGCAAAATTTAGGGATCATTTTTCTTTCAAAATATCTCTTTTGATTACCTCTTATGCTTTTGCATAGGAAAAAGGTTAAAATTAGAGTGTTTTTTGGTATACTTCCTGCTTCTTTTTACCATAACTCTGCAACGACGTAAGTCCCATGCTGGTTGCTTAAATAACCATTAATCATTTTTTCTTTACAATTTTGTATTCAGAACTATTTTTACCCTATCTTTGAATGACGTCACGCGCTTAAGGCCAATTAGCAGCTACGAATTTCGAGTTTTCTGCGGTTAGTGCGTTCATATGCATAAGATGTAGGTCAGATTTACCTGAATGAGCTTTTGTCGTAAATAGAGGAAAAGATTTCATTATGATTTCTAGTGAGTAATGATTGGATCAATTGCATTAGACAGACTCCTACCAAACAAGGGGTGTTCACACAGGTTAGCTTAAAGGTCACAGTGGTTATCTCTTAAAAAATGACTGGGTTCATGTTCTATTGAACATAGTATCTCTAGTTTTTTCATTCTGTCGGAACACACGTGGAACACAAATGAAATATATCTGTATATATATATTTTTTTTTTCATTATGATTTCTAGTGAGTAATGATTGGATCAATTGCATTAGACAGACTCCTACCAAACAAGGGGTGTTCACACCCCTTATATATACTCACATATATATATATATATATATATATATATATATATATATGTATATATAATATGTATATATGTGTGTATAGGCCTATATATATGTGTGTGTATATATATGTATATATAATATATATATATATATATATATACTGTATATAGTTAAAATTTTATGACAATAGTTTTATACAACTTATTTTATATAGTTTATCAAATATAATATATGAATTACTAACATTACTCTTAAATCAGTTCCGTAAAATGCTCCGTCCTCAATATATGAAATTTTGTTTCTAGAAAGCATACTAATGAAGAAAAAAAAGTTAAAAGTATTTCAACTTACAACATACAAAACAATCAAGTGAAATGAAAGAAAATATTTTATATTTTCATTGGCAGCATATCATGTACGGTAGTTTATCCATACAGTTCATTAGTACAGTAAACCTATACAACAACAAAAAGACAACAGCTACTGCAGTAGCCTCAGTTGTATTATTTGCAGCAGTATTATATTTTTTTCATTTATTTATTTATTGAATAGGATTTATATAGCGCACATAGCCAGAAAACTGCTCAAGGCGCTTTCCCCCTGATAATTGGATACAGAATTAAACAAACACAACGTCCAACCTCTTACACTCCCCGGGGAGTATTCCTAGTTATGAGTGTGCACTACTAATGTCATTCCGATTCATTACCTCCTACCAGGTACCCATTTTTATAGGCCTCTTGAATGGGTAAAGAGAGGCAAATGCTCAAAAACACACAAAAAAATAAAGTCCAATGCCTTATACACTGCGCCACACGCTTCTAGTAGTTGGCCTGTAGTATTAACAGCAGCGGCAGCCAGCGGTGTTGTTGCAACGGCAGCAGCAGTGGCAGTATGGTGTTAGTATAGTTAGTTATTAACCATCTTACATCATTTCCAGATTTTTCAGACCTCTGAAATTATCTCTTGAAATACTTTCGATTCGATTATCATGCATGACAATAGTTTGAGGTGAGTATTTCACAATAGGTCCACTTCCAAGGGAAAATATGGAATTCGATTGTAAGTACCTGAGATAGAGAATAAAGAAAAAGTGAGATTAGTCTTGTAGACTGCCTCAATACGATCTACAAGTTATTTTTCTAGGCAACCATTAAGAGGCACAGTATTCAGGTATAGAAACAATTATTGCTTTGTAAAAGTAGAAAATGGCAGAAGGTGAGGATTCCCCAGCAGTGTTGGCAATGAAACTCAACATTCTGTTCGAACGGGAGATAATTTTGTTTACATGGTCTTCCCAAGTAAATTGACTGTTAATAGTAACCCCAGATGGCAATGATTTAACACAACATAGTATGGTGAACTAGATAAGAAACTGATCAGTGTTCTTTTAATGATCGTCAATGGCAGCGCTACGGGGCGGGGGGGGGGGGGGGCTGGCTACATTCCCCGTCGGGGAGGCCTTGCCCCCACCCCAGGTCGGGGAGAAAAACCACAATTTATCTGGTAGAAAAGAAAATAAAAAAAAAAATATATCTAATTTGTACATATTAAGAGACTCTAAAATCGATTAAATTAGCCTTTGAAACCCCTAAATTGTCATATTTTCGGGGGGCTACGTACCCTGGACCACTTTCAAAAGGTTTTTAGCGACGTCCGACCTTGCCCACTTTTCTGTCGTCGGGGACATCAGCCCCCCCCCCCCCCCCCCCCCCTCACAATCTTGGACTTTGGATCCCCCTCCCCGTCGGGGAAATCTTGGCGCCGCTACTGATGATCGTGTAATGTGGAGGATTTTAGGTTTGTTAAGTTCCACTTCATTTAAATCACACCAAGAAGTGAGACGGTTTACAACATTGAAAATCAAGTTTGTTACAAGCTGAGAGAAAGTATTTATTAATAATAGTACTGTATTTGATTTATACACTATTTGTGTTCCCAGTGCCAAGCAGCAACTTGATTTGCATGTTATTTCCTATGACGATTTACCAGCTACTACCTATAAGCTACGTAGCGCGAGATGGTCTTAGATCCGTAACGTAATGGGCCAGGAACGTCAAAGTGAGAGACCACAACGCAGTGAAAGCTGCAAAAGCACAATGTAATAGTATGTAGTATTAGTGAATCTCTAAAAATCAATCCTGTAACTAAATAAAATAGATGATGACAACAGCAATGACATAGCTGAAAAAATATATATTAATGAAAATACACTATACTAAAATATTCACTATAGTATATTGTAAGTCATGTTAATATCGAAAGCAACGACTAACTGGATTTCTTCGTTGGATGGGAGTGTTCTGCGAATTGATGCTGTGGCTCTCAATTTCAATCGTGAATTTGACTGAATTTTACATGGGACATTAATTTCTAAGCTTAAGAGAAGTTATGATGTAACTGGGTCATTATTAAATTAGATAAATTCTTTTCTAATTAAGCAGAGACAAAAGGTCATCTTCAATGGAGTAGTCTCGGATTGGTGTAATTTCTGGCGTTTCTCAAGTGTCTGTTCCCGGACCCATACTTTTTAACATCTCTGTCAACGACCTACATTTGCACCTTCATTCTAGGCCTTTCAAATATGCGGATGACACCTTTGTCTCCAGGTGTGTTTATACCCATAACGATGAAGTAATTTTACAAAATGATATTAGTCATATTTTTCGTTGGTCAAAGATGAATTCTCTGACATATAAATAAAACTAAATATAAGGTAATGAGTATTACTCTTAAAAGATCACACAATGTTGCTTCTTATACACTTGATGGGCGTGTTTTGCAAAATGTTTAAGAACTAAAGCTCCTTTGAGTGACAGTGAGTTATATAATGTCCTGGGCAGGGCAGGCTAATAAGTAACTCTAAATTGCAATGTAAATAATGTTCTTTTAAAATTTACAAGTGTCTAGTCCGCCTCCATATCCAGTATTGCTGCCATGTCTGGTATCCGTTTCGTATAGGTCAACAAAATCATAGACGAGCTAATCGGTTTATTTTACATCAAACCCCCTGGAACAGACATAGGTCTATGTTGGAAGACTAGACACTTCGAATATAATAACTATTACTTCACTTCAAGATTATTTTACAGTTTTAAGTATTTGTAATATCCTTATTAATTTTCGTAATAGTTTTATTTTCAAAAAATGATTATTAACAACTGCCATCTTACTGACTATCAAACACTTTAAAATACAGAATGGCACTTTAAAATACTGTATACCAACTCGATCTGTCCAAACTTGGAATAATCTTTTTGCGGCCCTTAGGAACACAATAAACAAAAGAAACGAGCTCATCACTAAGTGCCGTCACAACAAATTTAAATATGAAAGGGAGTTGGTGTATTCTGGTAAATTGAAGAGATTCTTTGCTAAGTATGGGTTAATAACCATTCCTATGTCACAGAGCTAGAGATAAAAAATGTTCTGGCAGGGCTGGTATGATTAAATTTCTATGGCAGGAAAGGACACAAACCTGTCTCTTATACACATCTTTAACTTCAATTATTTTTATAGTACATAATAATATTGTTTTCAAACACAATTTTCAATCAACAAAAACTGAATCATCAGTTTTTCACAATGCACTGATATGAAAACAATTTGGCCTAAATATAGTACTCACATTGTACGTCTGATTCGTAAATTGTACAGGGCAGGAGGGAACACAGTTAGTCTGTTATCCTTTAGACACCTTGTTAAAGAAAGTTAAATAACATATTTAAATAATAATAACAATAACAACAGCAACAGGAAGAACAATTAAAACAAAAACAACAAAAAGAAGAAGAGGAAGAGGAAAAAGAAGATTCCCATGAGAAGTGATGTTGAAATTTCAACAAAAAAAGTCATTCATAAGTATAAAGAAATAACACACAATCAAAAATACTAAATAATACTAATAAACTTATGAACTAAAACTTTCATTTGACCATGACACACTATTATGGAAAGTTTCATTTAAATCCATTGATAGGTTTCTAGATATATTAGGTCTGGAATATTAGCATTTTAATGACCCTCAAGTTTACACCAAAATCTGGATCGTCACCAAAATTGAATAATTTCTTCTTGGGTGTTTAAACCTAAATCCCTTTAATTGGTCCTCACATCCACACCCCACTCCAGATTAATAAATTTTAAGCGGTATGGTCTATGTTTGGACAAAGTTTGAAAAAGATCCAAGCATGGAAAGCGACCAAAGTGCCTAGCAGAAAAACCATGTGCAAAAAGATAGGAAAAACTATGTGCAAGAAGAAAAAAAAAGAACAAAAAATGGATTTTCTTTGCTGCTGCTAGGCCCATAATGTTGATGATGATACATCATTAAAATTTTGTGTAATAAATATACAGTGTATTTTAGGCAACGGGTGCTTTTTCTTTCTTTTAACCATATAGAATATATAGAAAGTATACATGGACGTTTTTTGATAGATAGACGTCATCCCAGAGAGATTTGATAGAAAAGGCAAAGGTTCGCTGACCATTTCTTTTTAGACTTTAGGAATGAGAAGGCCTAACTTGCCAAGTAAAGACAACGGGTTAGGACATTGATTGAAACTATTTGAGAAATATGCTGGCTGATGAAATCGAAGAACTTTGAAACATAGAATAAAGATTTAAAAGGGAATTCGTTGTAACCAGTACAGATTTTTGCATTGGAGTGCAAGAATTGCGTCAGTAAGAGAGCATACACGAGCAGCATTGCAATAATAAAGTTTAAATCTAAGGAAATACAAGTATGAACGAGAGTTTCTGTAGATTTGTAGTTTAAGAGGGACTCATCCATAATGACACTTAGATTTGTTACAGAAGATGATGGTTTAATTTCAAAGATTTCAGGTTAAATCTAGTGAAAGTCTAAATAAATAAAATATTCGGGAAAAGAAAACAATATATCTAGATTTTAAAGGATTTAATTTGAGCATTTTTGGGTAAGTCAGTTTATTAGTTTTAATATTTATTATTGTTTTCAAGACAAAACTTGGTTGCTCATATTATAAGATGTAAAAATGATAATCCTTGCAAGATGGTGTTGTTTTTACGCATCTAGAAACAAAAAATCGGGTAGAAAAGTAAAATCTATTCTTGATCTGATAGTTGAAAAAAGCAATATTTCCAGATCTTAGTTTCTCAGAGAAAGTTTTTCCAGACTAACTCTTCAAAAGTAAAAATTAATAAAAATAACATTGATATATATAAATATATAGCATAGATATAGTATAGCATAGATGCCGGCACCGCTTAAGCACCTGTGAATTTTTGCTGACCGACCTCTATGTATCAAATTGCTGGACTCTCTGCTTTTAGGTTTTCCTTCCTCCCGGTAATGGTTTCGGCTAGTTTTAGGATATGACATGGTTTATGTATACTCTCTTGTGGGCATCTTTTTTGAACTTTCGGATCTAAAGTTTAAATATTATTATGCAGATTTGAATTTGTCAATACAAGTTTGAGATTCAGATAAGGAATCAAAAGTTAGATAGAGCTGGTTTCATCGACGTAAATATGACAATGAATATTATGATGAGAACGAATAAACTTGGAAACGGTAGAAATATATGACAAGAGAACAGTACCGAAAATGGACCCCTGAGAAACACAAAATTACAGCTCTTTTGAAGAAGAAACAGAGTAGAACCGAAAAAAAAAACATTATTGGCATGCTGTTGACGAGAGAGCTAAGTTTAGGACGTCATCGTCATCTTCATCATCATCATCATCATCTCCGCCAGGAGATATATATATATTTTCGTTTCGTGATGTTTGGGTGTGGGGGGGTGTGTGTGTGTAACGCTTTGCTATTTCATTTTTTTTTTTCTTTTGTTGGAAATATCTCAAAAACGGCTGCACAAACTTAACTGAAAATATAACCCAATGAAGAAATGATTAAATTTTGGTGACTGGCCAGGTGTGGATGTGACGACCATTTATAGAATTCTGTCCTAGACAAGATATCTCAAAAACTAATCTACTGATATGAATGAAACTTTCGTGAAAGTTTAACCAAAGTACAAGAAAGAAACTGTCAAGTGTAGGTCTCGATCCAAATTCGGGGGTGAACGTGAGGGTCATTTAAATTTTGAAGGTCCTGCGTCTTTCTTGTGTTTAAAATATCTCAAAAAGTGCTGCACATATTTCAATGCCAGCTACAGGGACTGTTAGGTATGACCCAAGGATGAGATGATTACATTTTGGTGATCCAGCGTAGGGTGTGTATATGAGGACCATTGAAAGGGAAACGTCCCAGACCAGATATTTAAAAAACTAATCAACTGATATGAATGAAACTTCATGAAAGCTTAACCAAGGTCCAGAGGATCCACTAATTAGTCTTAAATAAAACAAAAAGACAGTAACTCCGAAAAGAGACAGACATTTTGAGATTCAACGTTTCGATGTATTTGATAATTCTCAAGAATACTGATGAGAATACTGATGATGGATGGGTGAGATTTTCTCATCAGTATTCTTGAAAATGATCAAATAGATCGAAACGTTAAATCTCAAAATGTCTCTGTCTCTTTTCGGAGTTACTGTCTTTTTGTTTTATTTAACCAAGGCACAAGGAAGAAGTTATGGAGTGTTGATGACGATCCAAATTCGGGTGTGTATTTGTGTGCCAGTATGTTAAGCCAGAAGATGTAAGGAATTGGCAGATGTACAACTGATACCATTAAATGCGTACGAAAAATTAAGTCGCAGATCAGATCAGATATTTCTAAAACTAATCAAATTATTATTATTATTATTATTATTATTATTATTATTAACTAACTTTAATTATAATTTGCAATGGTAAAGAATGTATACTTGCAATTCGTCAACACCTTCCATCTCTATAAATGCATCGGGATGAACATCTTGAATCACGTTGTGTTCAAATGTCCTGAAAATAATATTGGTGTATTCTGGTAAATTGAAGAGATTCTTTGCTAAGTATGGGTTAATAACCATTCCTATGTCACAGAGCTAGAGATAAAAAATGTTCTGGCAGGGCTGGTATGATTAAATTTCTATGGCAGGAAAGGACACAAACAGTATGAAAATATTATACCTGTTTATTCCTATTGCATGGACGCATATATAAAAAATATATAAGGTAATTTCGGTATAACTATTAATTACATATTAAATACTGATTATGAATTTCCACCGACGCAGAATAGTAAAGATACAAAAAAAAATAATAACCAAAGATACTCACAGCTTATCTAGATAGCCCCCATTAATGACTCTTGCTGGAATGGTCGTTAGGGTAGACCACCATACATATCTGTTGAGATAATCAAACATTTCTAAATATGTGATACTCTACCTGGTAACATATAAAGCTGGATTCACATTGTCCCTTTACTTATCCCATATTCTGATCGGCGGTTCGTCGGGCTTTGGGCTTTCCGATCCGTTTGTTTTTTTGTGAATTCAACTTAATACTAAATGGTCTGTATTGAGCCAATCTTTTGCCTCAGTAGCTCAGTTTAAACGAAGTAAATAATGAAATCTTACATTTTACTGCCAGACGGTATGTTTCGAAATGTTCCTGTAGATATATTTCTTAAAAATTTTCCGCTGACCACTCTTTAAAAAAAATAAACAAAATACTTATAAACATTGTTGTTTTATAATTTGTTTACAATGTTACTAACTCCGTGGCCTCACCTTTGTTATTTTTCCGACATTAAAGCATGTTACGCATACGAACGTATAAAATGAAATGAAGTAGACGGCATCAGAGTGCTCTTGTCTCTAGATATAGCCTAATACTCGTATTTTTGTTATTGTTCTAAATGTATTGCTATTATTATTATCATTATTACTACTAAAATACTTTAATAATAATAATATAATAATAATTATATTAATAATAATTACACTAATAACAATAATAATAATAATAATAATAATTACACTAATACTAATAATAACAGTAATAACAATAATAATAATAATAATAATAATAATAATAATATTGTTGTAATTTTAGGATATAGTAATACTTTAATAATTCAATAATAATAAAATAATAATAGTGTTAATATTGTTGTTATTTTTTGATGTTTTGCCCTACCTGAAGTGTTATCGTACAAATACTTTCGGAAAAAATCGCAAGTGATTCATTGCAGTTAAGAAACTGAATTGCGAAATGAAGTTGTTCAACTGTTCAACTACTGATATAAAATTACAAATTACAGGTCTACACAAAAAGTGAATTATCACAGAAAAAATACAAATACAAATTGATTACATTCACAAAAATAAATTAAAATAGAGCCCATGGCCTCCAGATAACTAGCCCTTTGCCGTAAACACTAGATCACAGAGCAAGTGTTGAATCCGATCCCCATGTATCAGAAACTCTGCAAATGCAATTCGATATGTGTTCGCCTCAGGAAATATCATAAGAATGATGTTTTACTGACGTATCTGAAGTGTTATCTTACTGAATACTCAGTGCGTTTCCAAATACTTGCGAACAAAATCGCAAGTAATTCGGATTGGAATCAAACCCACGAAATCAAATAATAGCCTGATGTCATATAACCACTACATCACTATTTTCTTGACACAAACACGCATCGAATTTGTGGTTAATAGGCATTTTTCGTTTTGACTACGCGGCCAGTCTACTAC